AAAAAAAAAAAAAAAAAAAAAAAATCTTAGTGCAGTGAAATAAACCCTTTCCTCCACAGCAATAGAAAAGCAAACTAAGACAATAAAATCATCAGGCACAACAACATGTAAGAAGAGTTACAAGTGTGTGAACAGTTGCTGTCCCGCCTTGGGACTCTTAGACCTCCGCAAACTCCATTTGATGGCGAACATCATTACTTCAGTAATTTCACAAGGTTGCTGAGAATCTGAGAAACCACCAGAGAGGATCTTTAGAGTACCACACCAAAGCTCAGGGGTAAACTGAAATTTTTCATGTACTATACCTGTGCTTTTGCCTTGGAAAAGACATCAAAGGGATCTGAGATCCCAGGAGTAATACTAACCCTTGGGGAAACATTCAGGCAGCTTTGGATTCTCTTCCTCACTACATATTTAAATTCAGCTACAAATCATGAGCCAGAAGAAACTGGGAAAGTTGGATAGAGAGGCTTCCCAAACATACAACTTCACCTTTACCTGCCGAAAAAAGATTCCTTTTCTGGGTGTGTAAAGGGATTGTAAAAAGCCATCCTCACTGGGGGGACTGATTCTAAGATGCTGTGATTCCTGGGTCAGAATTTGCAGTCTGAGGTAGCCCCTGGCTGGATTTCTTTCTCATTCCCATCCCTTGGTCTCTAGTCCTGGTGTGAGACATGCTTACATAGCCTTCCAGACAGTTGTCTGGGTTGGCACAGTAGGGCATGCATATGGATGCTCTCTCCTTTACAAAATGAATCACTTCTTTAGATAAAAAAAAAAAAAAGGAAACCTAAAAATAAAAAATTAAAAAAAATTGCCAAGAGTTTGAAACTCCAGAGTTTGAAAATGGTCATGACCAGTCCTACCTTGCTCATAAAATTCCTCTCTCCCTTTATTGAGTCCTGCTTATTTGAGGACAGGTAAAAAGGTCATAAAACACAGATAATAATACCCCCTTCCCGGGGGCTGGAGAGATGGCTCAACGGTTAAGAGCATTGCCTGCCCTTCCAAAGGTCCTGAGTTCAATCCCAGCAACCACATGGTGGTTTACAACCATCTGTAATGAGGTCTAGTGCCCTCTTCTGGCCTGCAGGCATATATGCACACAGAATACTGTATACATAATAAATAAATAAGTATTTTAAAAAAATTAAAAAAAATAATAATAATACCCCCTTCCCAGGGGCTCCCTCTTCACTGAGATGTATACTCAATCATCCCCGGGAATGCTAAAGTCTTAGGTTAGCCCAGATGTCTTCCTTTTGTAGGGCAGGGGAGTGACCATCCACTCATACACACCTGCTTCGTGCCTTCGCCCCCAGCCGGTCACCCAGCACTTCTCCCCACCGCGCACTTTCTGGCCAGCTGGGGGGAGACATATTGGCTGAATGATCTGTTTCAGGGTCTCAGGCCAGGCTATACTGAGCTGTAGCAAAGCAATATCATAGTCAAAGGTTTGACTGTTATAGTATTCGTGGACCACAATCCTTCTGAGTGGAGAGATGAACTTGGCACTCCCCTGCACATACATCCCAAGGTGTGCAGTCCATGGAGTAGGGTCAGATAGCCTGGAGGAAAAGGAATGAAGCACAGGGTTAGTAACTGTTTGAAAGCAAGTAATTACAGAGCCATGATTAGGATGCACAGAGGAGGGCCTTACTGCCAAGTCCTGTTTTTAGCCCTGGTTCTGTTCAGTGCCATAGCAAGGTCCACAGCCTCCCTTGTCTCCTTGCTAGATGCAGCCGTGATGTAAGTTGTCTCATAATAGCAAGTTATAGCTGTACTCCAGAATATTCTCTCAGTGGTGTTTTGAGGAAATAGCTCAAAAGTTTCTTGCCCTCATGAACCAACCACATACAGGTCAAAAATATGGGTGACTTCATTTAATTTGTTACTCTTTTATTTATGCTAATAACATAGACACACAAGGACAGTAAGGTATTGTTTGGGGGCCCTTTTTTCAAATTCAAATGAAATGGCTATCAACAGATTAGACATTGAAGGGCTTTAGGCCTCAGAACATTATTGAAAAACTTTCTTGTGAGCTATCAGAATTTATGCAAGTCAGTGTAGTGGTTGCTTAGACCTTGGCCAATCCATCTGAGAGGGGCACAGAACTCCCTTATAAGGTTTGGTCTCCCACAGAATCGGTGTAGCAATCAGGGAGAATATGGGCACAGAGGACATGGAAACTTGGGGGAAAAAGCTAAGGACATGGTTCAGAGAAAGGCTAGCATCATATTTGGAGCAGTTATTTTACTTATTGATGAAGTTACTTCAATAATTAGCATGAATCCTGTAAGTTCCAGGGAAAGCTAAGATTCAAATTGTATAACTTCACTGTAAAACTCTATTTAAAATTTTGGATTAATTGGTGTTTTGTTTTACTTAAGATCCAGCAGATCTCAGACAGGCTTAAGATTTTTGTTGGTTTGTCTTTTTTAAATTTTTTTGTTTTTAGATTTATTTATTTTTGTGGTTCACTGGTGTTTTGCCTGAATGTGTATCTATGTGAGGGTGCCGGGTACCCTGGAACTGGAGTCCCAGTTATAAGCCATGTTGGTGCTGGAAAATAAACCCAGGTCCTCTGAAGCAACAGCCAGTGCTCTTACTGCTGAGTCATCTCTCTGGTCTTAGGTGTAAGGTTTTAAGTGAGGTTTTTCTTTTTTATTTATAAAGTTTTGCCTTTACCCTTAGTTCAAAGAGAACCTGTCCCTTAATAACCCTACAGGCAAAGGCAAACAGAGCCCTTCTGACGCCAGTCCTGGCTTCTGCTACCCCTGCCTCATCCAAAAGAGATCCATGCTCTCCAACTATCCTCCAGCACTGTCCTTCTCTACATTCCATACACTGACTTGGGTTTGGCCCTGTAGTTTAAAAGCCAGTCTCCATTTCCTCAGCCTAATGAAAGTCTCTCCAGCCTTGGTGATTCCTTTGTGTTCTTTTTTCTTTATGTCAATGGTATCTAAAAACAAAACTGGCGTACAACTGGTTCCCCCCACCCAAAGACATAAAGGAACCCAACTAAATTGTTCATTTCCACTAGAAAGCTTTTTCCGCAAACTGGAGGTCAGATATATGGTTTTGAGGGTGAAGACTGGGATAGCCTACCTGTTTCCGTGGAAACAATGGGCTGCTGAGAGAAGCCACTCCCTGGAGATGACAGAGGCACCACAGTAGGCTGATCCAACAAAGTGGAGGCTGACCTGCCATGGCCAGGTCCCCTCTTGGGAGTCAGAACCCCCAACGATGCGGTGGAGGGAGGAAGAGCCCCTGCTACAGCCTTTAGGAGAGGAAGGGTCATATGACTGAAAGGCAGACAGAAACAGAAACACACAGAGAGAAGCGGAAATTCTATCACATTATGGCTGTGTTGGTAGCTGAGTCATCAAGCCATCAGTTGGCAATCTCCTGCATATCTAGCAGAGAGGAAATCTATAGGTCTATCTGGAATCAGGGCCAACGCAGCACCCCTCCTCTGCTTCTGAGAGCATGCCCTGACTTGGAGTCTCTACGCTGATGCATAAGGGGGAGGAAGGCCCTGTAGTAACTAACAGCTGACATAATCAGCAGCTCGTGGAGTTAGATGATTATGTGGGAAAGAAACAGTAACTTCCAAATCTAAAAGAACTGAGAATGTCTTGGAAGTTGTGCTAATTGGAAGAGAAGGCATTTAGAAGAGAATTTGTAAGTCCAGGAAGCGGACAGCTACTGAAATTTGGTTATCAGAGCCCTTGTTTTTCAGTGTCAATGGCATCGATAAGGATAGATCGTGAACCTGTTGCCTCATGAAAGGTCACATGGCTGAGGAGGACATGCGGCAAAGGGAACTTTGGTGTTGTCCTCACGGAGAGTCATCCACTGGAGTCCACTGCCTTACACACAGGTGATTTCCCCCTTGACTGGGATCTTGTGTGTTAACTCTTTTATCCAGGAGGAAGCTGGAACAAACCTCAGAGGTTTTTATTTCTTTGGAATAATGTTGGATTCAGGTCACCAATAAGTATTGTTATTTCCTAGATCCAGAGCCATGGTACCCGGAGGCCATGGACATGACCAGTGGATGAAAGAAGAGAGAGACATGAAGCAAGAGAAGCCACTGCTACGCACTGCAGCCCTCTTCGTCACTCCCGTCTGCACAATCCACGATCCCGTCACACTGTGCATTTTGTTTCCGGAAGCAGATGTCATTGCCACACTTAAAGGTCCTATTGGTGCACGGAATGCCTAAAAATAAGTGAAAAGAAGGAACAATTTGGGTTTTTGTTGTTGTTGCTGTTGTTGCTTCTAGCCAGAAACAGATTTGAGGGAATGACTTGGAACTCTGGGAAAAGAGTTATAGTCACAGCACCCCTGTTTTCTGCTCTGGAAAAGGCTGGCAGAATAACCCCACAGGGACATGTTTCTTCACCTAAGCAGATCACGTGTAAGGCAGGCCAATAGCACACAGCTGAGAATCATTCCAACTGCCTCTCCTTACTCATGGCAAACACAAGATTAAAAAAAAAAAAAAAGTTGACCATATCAATGGCCTTGGGTCATGGCCTCTTAGCTATCTCTTAGTTTCATTCTCTCAGAAAAAAAAAGTCACACCCACATCACATGCTCTCCTTTTAGGGGAAAAATAACAAGAGAAACTCTGAATTACAATGCATTTGTTTACAACCTATGGGGTTAACTTTCTACAGAGGTATTAGCAGGAGTCCTCACAGTGTCTGGCAGGCTCCTCTATGACAGACCTTCATTGTCTCACCTACAGCTAGCATGAAAAGCCAGTAAAACCATGAAAACATGCCAATATTTCTACGGGAGCACATCCAATTCCACCCCGCCTACTGTGAGCAAGTATGTCATTGTTTTTTAGGCTGGGTAGGATTCTCCGAACAAGAGATATCAGGGCTAAAACTGAGAACAGTCTGGGGAAACTGGGGCAAGATGATCTCTCTGAATGCAACAGAGCTTTTGGCTCACTGAGGTGCTACCAAAAGAACAGAACCCTGTGTGTCTTCCTCACTCCGAGTGCAGTTCTGCTCATCCTGGCCATCCTCGCAGTCCCAGAAGCCATCACAGACCAGAGGGCCGCGCTGCCGGAAGATGCTGGCATTGCAGGCAGGTTTGGCAGTCACTGTGGTGAGAGACAGAAAAGTCATGAACACAGGACATCAGCTGGTCTCCCTGACAACCAGCAGTATCCCTCTAAAGCTGTGAACCTTAACGTGGCAAATATAGGGGAGTGACAGAATGTGGCTTTTCTTTTTCTTTTTTTTTTTTTTTTTTTTTGGTTTTTCGAGACAGGGTTTCTCTGTGGTTTTGGAGCCTGTCCTGGAACTAGCTCTTGTAGACCAGGCTGGTCTCGAACTCACAGAGATCCGCCTGCCTCTGCCTCCCAAGTGCTGGGATTAAAGGCTTGCGCCATGGATGCAGAAGTTTAGTGTAACTCCTTCTTTAGGTCTTGTTTTTGCTATTGTGTATGTGCGTTTACATCGGGTGGTTTATGTTACTTCAACTCATTGCATCATAAAGAATCATATTTTGTTTTCCTTTTGAGGTAAGATTTTACGTGTAACCCTAGCTAACCTGGAATTTACTATGCAAACCAGGTTGACCCCTGAACTCAAGGAGATCCTCTTGCCTCTACCTCCTGAGTGACAGGTTTAAAGATGTACTCCACCATGCCTGGCATAAGTAACCCTTTTCTAAGAAAAATAATCCCCCTCATCAGCTACGACCTGAGTGGAACTTGCCTACCCTCCTGAAGAAGGTGCAGGGGACTGAAATGAGCACTTTTGTCTCATTCATTTCTTTACCTTGGGTCTCTGACCAAAAATAATAAGTGTTCACAAAAAGCTTGGTGAATGAATTAATGTGAAACCCCCTTAAAGTTGTTTTATTCTGATAGATATATACCCTAAACACCACCACTTCCTCTTTGACATGCATCTTGAACTACCTTCACAGCCATGGCAGGCACAGTGCAGCAGCAAATGCTAGGCTTCCTGAGCCTCCTTAATCCCTAGGGAAAGGTGAGTAAGCTATCTGCTCCATTCTGCAGCCCCACAACGCAGGACAGTCAGATGCAATAGGGAGTAGAGTCAAAGCAGGAACTCAGTTTATTACTGTGAGCGTCAGCTTATATATGTTAAGTGACTTCCTGTGATATGGGGGTACCTCCAGTCAATGAGAGGCAGCCAAACCCTCCTCTACCCAGTTTTTGCTGTCTCACCCTTACTCAAACTCAAGCCAGGCTTTTTTCTGTCCAAAACCCCTCAAGGTATAAGCCCTGAGATAATTTTGGCCCAGCATCAAGCACCTGTACAAAAGACAGTTTTCACAGTGATTTCTGGATTGTGAAATTAGCACTTTTACTGTATCTGCCTGGGTCACCAGAGTATTTCTCATCTTAGTCCCTCTGAGCAGTGAGGAAAGTACACTGCTACCTTGAAATAGTTGGTTGTCTCCAACAGGGCCCAGCTGACAACCAGAGGATAGCTTCAAAATTGATGCAGTGAAATACAATGATAAAAATATTAGTCCTTATAAAGCAATGGCAATGGCTTTCGTCTGGAGCACCAGAGCAAAGAGCAGTAATAAAAAAAGAAAGAGAAACCTTTAACCACTAAAACTGACAGCATCTGTTTTCTTACAAAAAATAAAAGCCTGGCTGTGGCAGTGCATCCTTTAGCCCAGCACTCAAGACAAGGAGTTAGAAGGATCTCTTGTGAGTTTCAGGCCAACCTGGAATCTCTGTCTCAAAAAGTACACACACACACACACCCCGCCCAAAAATAAAAGAAAGAAAAAGAAAACAAAGAAAGAAGATTTTATACATTTAGAGTGCTAATAAGCCATAAATTAAAAAGATTTTGTTTTTTTTTTTCAATTTAAAAGTATACAAAGGAGTTAGGCATATAGTTCAGTGTTAGAGTACTTGCCTAGTATAAGAAAGACACTAGGCTTGATTCCAGTAACACACATATAGACAAATTGTAGAGAAATGGGTTATTTTTATGAACATAATTTTATATAGTTGCAGTATAATAAATATAATGTCTGTCCAAAGATATGGAAAAATTGCATACCGTCACTGTTACAAGAATATTTAAACATGAACGAAAAGGTTGACAATAACTTTATATTGTCCTACAAGTTATCTTCTAAATATCATTCCCTGCAACTAGAAATAAATTCAGGGACAGGTTGCAAATGACAATGAAAAACCAAGTTATATATTTTCTATCTAGACTAGGACTGTCTTGTATCCATTCCTTTGTCCTTACCAGCAGGATATCAGTGTATGTGTGGAGGAGGAGTCAGGAAGAACGTAAGACAGCAGTGTCTTTAGACATGGCAGGCCTAGTGCACAGATGAGCTCACAAGACTGTGGTGGCAGGCACAGGACCTCCACAACTTCAAGCCAAACTGGATCTCAGCACTGGGAAGGGGAAGTGGACAGGAGCTAACCAAGATGATATCTCCAATTGGCATCTGCTTGCAAAGGAAAAATTATTTTTTTCCAGCAGATTCTCACTGGGTATATTAACTACACTTAAGGGCTAGCCACAGGCCTAACGATACATGGCCAACACAGAACAAACTCAGTGGAATTTTTGTAGCCTTTTCTCTCCTATTGCTTTGTTTGGTATTTTTCTTTTTCTACCTTACCGATCTTTTGGTTGCAAACTATGGCTTCCAATTTTGTACTTTTATGGGTTTTGTTTTTGTGTCTGATGTGTGTGTGTGTTTCTTGTGGGTTTTTTTTCTGTTGATTTTTTGTTGTTGTTCTGTTTTCTTTGTTTGCTTGTTTTCTAAAGAGAGAGAAAGAAGGTAGAATTGGTGGAGAAGTGGGCAGGGTCTAAGAAGAACTGGGAGAGGAAAAACCTTTATCAATATATTTTATGAAAAAACTTTTTCAATAAAAAAGTAACTATAACAGAAAATATAAATAAATCCAACTTGTTCACCATGTCTGTGTTCCAAGAGCAACCACACTGAATTTACTTCTTGCAGATTCTGAGGAAGGAGAAGTATCTGAGCTTTGACATGGGATTGTGGTGGCTTAGGTCATTATCCACAAGATGTTAGTCCCCACTGTCAGAGTAATGCCACAGGAGTATGCAAAGTGAATTTCCCTCCCTCTTGACTATGTGACTTCTGAGCTATGGAATATGAGATAAACTTTTCAAGGCCAGGCCATATGGGGAGTCACATGTTTCTAGTTACTTTTCCTTGCTTTTGTTACTACTAGTTCCTTGGCTCATTGAAAGAAAATGCGATAAATACCAGCCATAATCCCCCTCCTGGAAGGCCTCAGCACAGAACCTCCCAGTGCTTGAACCTGAGCCACTCAGTTAAGCTGAGCCTATGCAACTCATGAATGCAAGATCAAGAATAAATGATGGGGTTAATTACTCCATTGAGTCTTGGGATAGCTAGTGATTGCAGAGCAACTATAGACACCGGTGTCAGCCAGCAGCAACAAAGATTCCAAGGAGTGATTTCTTCATAACGAAGTCATATTCCACCTACCACAGAAAAGCTCGTCACTTTCATCGAAGCAGTCATTTACCCCATCACAGCGCTGGGCCTGGGGGACGCACAAACCAGACGAGCATCTAAAAGACCCAGCAGGACAAGCTACAGGCAATTAAAACAGAAGAAGAAGAAATAAAGATAAAAAGAAACAGAAATTCTTGGCTTGGTTCCTAAAAGTCATCAGACTACCTTAGCAAAGAATTATGAAGTATTAGTTGGTTAGAGATTTGGCAGACAAACTGAAGCAATGATACAATTTCTCCATCCAACCAAGACTCTGCATAACTCTTAATGCATAATTTCCATTAGCAAAGAGTAAAAGCAAATCAAAGCTACAAAAGTTGAATCTAGGAAGACCAATGTCTGTTCCCAAAGCCCAGAGCTCCTGCTTCCTCCCTCACTGCCCATCGTTCCTTCCAATTTAACTAGGCGACTCATCAAAGATAAAACCATTGAGCCAGAGCTTATGGGTAAGCATCACACCAATAATAAGTCCTCTCTTCTGTCAAATGAAAGAACAGAGAACACATGTCAGACTAGCTACTGTCTCAGGGGCAGTGGGAAGAGTGGTTGGCCTGCTAGACCATCATCAGGATGTGTGAAGCCATTAGCAATGGATACACTTTGTTTTTCCCGTGTGTCCTCTGGAAATTCAACCCCTCTGAGTATCAGAGTGCAGCACTGAATCCAGAAGCGGTGTGTTTGGAGTTGGCAGAGTGGACCACGGTAGAAAGTAGATTCTTCCCTTGTCATACCCTCATGGTATCTCCACTGCGTCACTTTTATTTGTCTCCTTTCAAAAGAGTCTAAAATATCTCCAAGTCATTATCTACACTCCTCAGCTTCAACCACTTCCCTCAAACGTTGCCTTTCCCAGGACCACTTCCTGGCTCTGTTCTGTGGTTTCTTATACAAATTTCAACTTTCTGAAAGCTGACCTTTGAGTCATCTTACCTAACCATCTCTCCACAGTCACTGTCAGCCAAGGAGAATACAGAATGCCCCTCACAGAGCCCCTGTATGTTTGTATAAACACTATGATCACATGGATTTATGGCTAGCACAGAAAACATTACGATGAGTACTGTAGAGGCTGAGGCAAGAGGATTACCACAAGTTCAACACCAGCCTGGTCTACATAGGCTAACCAAAATTACACAGTTAGAATTTGTCTCAAAAGGAGAAGAAGAAGAAGAAGAAGAAGAAGAAGAAGAAGAAGAAGAAGAAGAAGAAGAAGAAGAAGAAGAAGAAGAAGAGAGGAAGAAAGAGAGGAAGAAAGAAAGAAAAGAAGAAGGTGAGGGAAGAAAATTTTTTAAAAAAAGACCAAAATATAGGCTTTTCCTATATTTTAGAAGTCAAATGAAAAAAATGTATTTTAACTCTAAGTAGTATCAAAAGGCTATTTTTCTATAATTTAAAATATATCACTAATAGATACTTTAATATATCTTTTATTATTTTGTAGTATATGTTACTTGCCTATTTTAGAAGATAAATAATAGCAAATAACAAAAATGAAACAGTATTAATTCCTTAAATTCTCAAGGCCTGAAATAAAGAAAGACTAGCCTTGCTTTATCATTAAGGGCTCCTCAGATTTTTTTAAACCGATTCCAAACTTACGTTGACTGATGTTATAGCCGCCATATTCTACCAAGAGAGGCTTGTCTGAAAGTCTGGAACTACATTGGAGCTGGATGTGGACCAAGGGGCTGGGCACTCGGAAAATGGTCTCGTGATCCATGTAGGAGCCACAGTACCTGAGAAGACAAGAGTCAGGGGGTCCGTGTGGTGTGAGGTCCCAGAGACTCTGTTCCATTGCCAGTGGACATCACTGATGCTTTGGCCATTCAGGCTCCATGAACAGAGAGGCTTCAGGCAGAGCTAAGAATGACAGCTACTTTGTGCTGTGGGACTGTGGTGTGGTAAGAGTTCTCCTTCGCTAAACAGAACACAACACTGTTGACCTGTTGCTTTCATTATTAACACTGCAGATTAACAAGACAATGGCTCAAATTCTCTGAGTTTTCGTATTTTTACAGTCAAAAATATGTAACAAGAATGGCCTGCTTTTATCCACAAACTCCTCTGTAGAGTGGAGCAGAATCTGTGAGCTCAGGCTGAAAATATGCAAATACTCCCACCCACAGTTGAGACAAAAGACAACAACATTAATTCAATCTTAATTGAAATCTGATTCGCACTGCGGGGCTTGTCCTTGGCAGCAATTCAAAAAAGGCACAATTACGCACAGTATTCCCTACCTTGACTTTTTCTCTACTTCCCATCCTTTCACATGAGCAGGGTTCCCAGGGTCCTCTTGAGTAAATGTCAACCTGGTTAATAATTCTCACTATGTGCACATTGTAGCTAATGGAGCATAGAAAATTACTTTATAGCAAGATAAGTTAGTTTACTGCCCGGTGCAGGCGAGGCTTTTCCAGTGGGAAACCTATGGGAAGTGTCAAGACTCTATGGAAAACACCCGATACAAGAATAAAGGGCGCGATTGCTTGGTACCTGTGAATGCCAAGCACTCTGGACTCCCAAGGCCTTTGGGAACTACTAACGTTCCATTGCCGTCAGAAGCACTATCTACAAATTTGAAGGCTTAAAAAAAAAAAAAGACACCTATATTATTCAGAAATCTTTGGCAGTTGGCCGAAACTCAGGAAGTTGAGAGGATATAACCCGCTATGAGGACACAGAAAAAAGTGGCTGTTGGGGGGGTCTGAGAGGCACCTAAGGCCAAGTCAAGCTGTTAGGAGCATACCGTAGCTAGTCATGTACACTGAAAACATGGCCATTGTCTTATCTGTGTCTCAGAGTGGCTGCTTGTGCTTTGTGCCTTCTCTTAGCATCTAGACTTTTCTTGCAAAGGTGAGCTCCTCTTGGTGTATTGGTATGGTTTGAATGTGAAGGGTCTCCTACAGGAGCATGCAGTTGAGTAGTCGATCCTAAGATGGTAACAGTGCTATAGAAGGCTGTAAACATTAGGGGACAGGTCCCAACTGGAAGTAGATAGTTAGGGGTGGAGTCCTAAAGGGTACATTATCCTGGCCGCACCCCACTCCACCCCACCCCTGCCCCTGCCTCACCTTCTGCTTCCTGGTTGGTCTCTGCAATGTGCCTAGCTGCCCCATGCCACCAGACTGAGCCACTCCTACCATGGTGACTCCTCCGTCACAACAAACTAAAATCCCCTGAAACTTAGAGCCAAACTAAGTGCTTCCTTCTCTTTGCCTCATATTTTGACATAGCAACAAGGAAATTAACTAGCATACAGGCTAAGGGGGGGCGGCTCACAGAGAAGGGAGCCTTTGCACCTATGCTTGGGCTGGCGTTTGAAGATTAGTGTACTGCAGAGCATGGAGGTGCGTTATAGATTAAAAGTAAAAAAAGTAGAAATGGAAGAAACCCAGCAAGAGTCTGTTTATATTCTGTGTTCAGACACTTAACAAGGAATGGTTATCATGAAGAAGTGAAGGGTTTTGTTAAAGTTCAGATAAAGCAAAGATGTTTCTGCTGACTCAGAATCTGTACACCAGTTGGCCTGATGCTAGATTCTAGCACTTTCTTAGACACCAAAGGCTGTTCTTCGCTGCTCTAGGATTCTAATAATGCATTCAGCTCCCCTGGATACAAATACCCCATTGATGTTATCTGATGCTCCCGAGAGAACCTTGGATTTCTTTCCATCAACACTGGTTTTTGTTGTTATTGTTTTGTTTTTTTGTTTTCCAGTGTCCTCATTGCAGACCACATTCCCTCGTCCCACTTCTCAGTTCGGTTTTGATGAAACAAAGCAGAGTCTTTCTTCTCTAGATGGAAAGTATTGGCCTAGAAAGAGCTGGGGATGTGCCTAGAGAGGGGATAAGCAGAATCAGATGAGTCTTACAGTTCTTCAGCTGGCCTAAAGGACCAGAAAGAAGCAGCTCTGCTTCAGGGAAAGTATTAGGGGCAGGAAGTTTTCCTGGTATTGGTTGGGAAAAGACTCTTCTACTTGAAGCAAAATGTCCTGGATCATATCATATTTGTTCATTCTGAGGGGAAAGTCTTCTCTCCCTTTCTTTCTTTCTTTTTTGTTTGTTTTTTGTTTAGTTTTAGTTTTAGTTTATTTGTTGTTGTTTTTTAGTTTCTTATTTAAAAGATTTTTTTTTCATTTTACATACCAACCATAGTTCCCCCTCCCTCTTCTTCTTCCCCTCCTCCCACTTCCCCCATCTCCCCCACCCTATCCAGTCCTCAGAAAGGTAAGGCCTCCCATGGACAACAAAGTCTGGCATATTAAGTTGAGGCAAGATTAAGGCCCTCCCCTAGGCTGAGCAAGGTATCACTCCATAGGGAACAGGCTCCAAAAATCCAGTTCATGCACTAGGGATAAATCCTGGTCCTACTGCCAGTGGCCCCACAGACTGCCCAAGCCTCACAACTGTCCCCCACATTCAGTAGGTCTCACTTGGTCCTATGAAGGTTCCCAAGCTATCAGTCCAAAGTCAGTGAACTCTCTCTGGCTTGGGTCATCTGTCTCTGTGGGATTCCCCACCATGATCTTGACCCCTTTGCTAATATAATCTCTCCTCCCTCTCTTTTAATGGACTCCTTGAACTAGGACCAGGGCTTAGCTGTAGATTTCTCCAACTGCTTCCATCAGTTACTGGATGTAGATTCTATGATGGGAGTAAGGTAGTCACCAATCTGATTACAGGGGAATACCAGTACAGGAACCCTCTCGACTATTGCTAGGAGTCTTAGCTGGGTTCTTCATTGTGGATTCCCTAGCATAGGTTTCTCCCTAACCCCATAATGGCTCCCTCTGTCAATGTATTTCTTTCCATACTCTTCCTTTCTGCCCTTCCCCCAACTCAACCAACCATTTGCCTTATGTCCTCCTCCCCCTTCCCTTTCACTTTTCCTTCCCTCCTCCCCTCCCAGTTTACTCAGGAGATCTTATTTATTTTCCCTTCCCAAGGGCATGCATGCCTATCACTCTTAGGCTCCTCCTTGATACCTAGCTTCTCAGGGGCTGTGGATTGTAGCCTGTTATCCTTTTCTTTACATCTAATATCTACCCGTGAGTGAGGGCATGCTGTGTTTTTCTTTGTGGGTCTGGGTTACCTCACGCAGGATGTTTTTTTTCTAGCTCCATCCATTTGCTTGTAAATATTAAGATGTTATTTTCCACTGAGTAAACTTCATTGTGTAAATGTACCACATTTTCTTTATACGTTCTTTGGTTGATGGACATCTAGGTGGTTTCCAGGTTCTGTCTATTGCAAATAATGGTGCTATGAACTTTGGTCCTGTCTAGCTTGTGTTCTGTAAACTTCTTGTACCTTCATAGGTGTGTCCTTTAGGTTAGGAAAGTTTTCCTCTGTAATTTTGTTGAATATATTTTCTATTCCTTTGAGTTAGAATTCTCCTTCTTTTAGCCTTATTATTCTTAGATTTGGTTTTTTTCATGGTGTCCCAGATTTCATGAATGTTTTGTGTTAAGAATTTGTTGGATTTGACATTTTCTTTGACCAGTGAATCTATTTTTTCTATCGTATCTTCAATGCCTGAAATTCTCTCCTTCATCTCTTGTATTCTGTTGGTTATGCTTACATCTACGATTCTTGTTCATTTACCCAGATTTTCCATTTCCAGAATTCCCATGGTTTGTATTTTCTTTATTGACTCTCTTTCAATTTTCATGTTCTGAACTGTTTCCTTCACCTGTTTGATTGCTTTTTCTTCGTTTTCATAGCTTTCTTTACGCTGGCTGCTGGGGTTTTCTCTCCATTTCAAGGCACAGTTTGTCCATTCCTAAACTCAAAGCGCCATAGAAGCTGGGAAAGAGCATGTGCTCCAGATCTTTACTTTCCTTAGATATGAAGTTTCGTGTTCTTGAAGCTTTAGGGATACATTTTTTGGGTTTATTTATTTTATTCTGTTTTTTTAGATGAGGAAGTCTCACCATGTAGCTCTAGCTAGGCTGGAACTTGTTATGTAAAGCAGGATATCCTGGAACTGCCTTTGCCTCTGGCATGTTGGAATTAAAGGCATGCACCACATATTTTTGATGTTCAGCTTGCATCCTTACATTGAATGCTAACAAAAACAAGTTTAAAAATAGCTGTAATCAAAAAGCGGTAATATTTTTCCTAGTCAATAAACTACTAGAGGACAGGCAAGTTTTGAACTTGACCCCATATAAGAGATGCTTCAAGCTGGACATGGTGGTGCAGGCCTTTAATCCCAACACTGAAGAGGCAGACATATCTCTCTGGGATATCTAGCCAGCCTGGTTTACGTAGCAAGTCCCAGGACAGTCAAAGCTATGTAAAAAGCACCTGTCTCAAAAACAAAACAAAAACAGAAAAAAAAATAATAACATAAACTTATTTCAAGCTGTATTTCAATAATGAATAGAGGTCATATCTTAATGATGGGGTTCAGTGAGATCTCTTCCAGTGAAAACAGGAGCATGGCTACTTTGCAGATTGTCTCTCTAATCAAAAGATGTTTTGTTCAGAAAAACCTCTTAGAGGGCTGGCCAGATGGCTCAGTGGTAAGTGCTTCCTGTGCAAGCATGAACACCTGAGTTTGAAAACCAACACCCACATAAAAAGCCAGCTGTGGGGGTATGAGCACAGGAAACTCACTGAGGCTTGCTGGCCAGCTAGCCAACCTAACCAAAAAAAAAAAAAAAAAAAAAAAAACTTCAGTTCAGTGAGATGTGGTCCCCAAAAGGTACAGCTGAGAGTGATAAAGGATGATACCTTATCTCAACCTCTAGGATGTCAGCATGGGTATACACACGCATACACTTTCTCTCATATGCATATGCTGCATGAATGCACATACGCTTGCATGCTGCACACACATATAAACTCAAAAGAAAAAATTTAAAAAATAAAAAGAAATGAGGAAGGAGAAAGGGAAGGCTTGGGGAAAAGGAAAGTTTCATTCAGAAGACAACAAAGAGAAAAGAATTGACTGGAAAAGCCTTTAATTCACAAGATACTTCTTAGAGTGTGACTCGAGAAGCTATTCTGCCAAAAGAGATCACAGCTGTATTTTTGAATGGAGTTTTATAGTTTTAGGAATGAACCAACAACAATAATATCTAAAGAACAAATTAAGATATAGGATGATAGGACCTATGTGATGGATTCAGGAATCCCAGGCACCTACATGTTTGAGATTCTTTCTGGTCAACCATTTTCTAGTGTTAGGATAGCCATGTCCAAAGCTGGCTAATAGTCTTTTGTTCTTGTACATCAGAATGAGAGGTGCCCTTGTTAATTTTCCCAGTAGCTCCAGGATTCAACAATGCCTTTGTAAAACACAGAATACCCTCAGGAACAGCCCAGCAGCAGAGAGAAGGTGTGGGGCTGAGCATCTGAATTCTGCTATGACCACAGGTGCCAACTCTTCGTGTATATGTTTCTGACCCACTCTATTCTTGGCTCCTTCTATCAGTAAACTGAAGACTCCGAGTGGACAAGGAACTGTCCATGTGATCCCTCACGTAGGAAAATCACTTACATGTGTTCATTAATTTCCCACCATCCATGCTCACAGCCTTTCATACTCTTCTTGGTCAGTGAGTAGTTGTAGAATCTCAGGGCTATGCCCAGAGTTGCCAGGGGAGTCTGTAAAAAACAAAAAGCAAGTCAGAAAAATGCCTCCGTAGAGCTCATTTCCGGTTAAAATATCCTTGCTTTCCCCATACACATTCTTTTGAGTTATTGCTTTAAAGATGTTCTGCTCTTTGTGGTATGTAGCACTTGGTGAGATGTACCATGGAGGGAGGGGGAGAAGGAACCTGAGAGGGGAATTGTAGGAAGCAGGTGTTGTAAAGTGGACATGGGAAAAATAGGGGGTGGAAGAACGGATAATGCAGGGGGAGAGAAAAGAGGGGGAGATAGAATATTCAATAATGTCATAGGGAAGCATTATTTTATGTTTACTTAAAAATACAAATATGTGCACATACATATATATGTATATGTGTGTGTATTTATTTTAATGGGGTCCCAGCACATGGGGTGACAGTGCTCCTCCCAAGAGTCAAACACTGTGTAACAAAAATTTCAATATTAGTCAAGGAAAATTTTCCTTTGTCATTGCTGGTCAAAGGAAACAAGATGGGCTATTTCCATTGTCCTTGATTCTCTTCCAGAACTTGAAGGTAAAACCCTATTATTGCTGAAGACTCATTCATCAGACACAGGCTTGGAGGAATAGGGCTAGAACTGACTTGGAAGGCTCCTCCCTGAGAACCGTTGTTCATAGCATTGGAAAGTTCCAGGAATGTTGCCAAAGGAGAAAAGTAACCAGTAGATCTACCCAGGTATAAAGTCTATAAGCCACAAAAATGACTTGCTGAGCAATTTACCCCCCCTCTTGGTGCAATATTGGTGCTTTTATCTTGGAGGTAACCAACAGCTATCTAATTTGACTGAAGGCCTGCTGAATAGCAGGGAAATTACACCTGATACTGTAAACCTACACAACCATTCATGATTGGTGAGGTCATCGTCCCTAAAGGAAAGTCTACTGCCATCATTTTCCTACACCAATATAATTTCTAGCTGTGTTCTAATCACTTATCCTACAGATAAGTGTCGTTCTCGCTCCTCATCAAATCAGCTTCTTTTTGTAAAGATGGATACTATTACATAGACACACGGGATCAAAAGGCAGACTGTGGCATGCCCAACTACAGCTGATAGGTCTGCAACTCAACCCCTATACCAAAGGCTCAGGAAAAACTGCTGAAAAGTGGGGGAAAGATGATAAGTGCGTTTGCTGCTAGACAGTGACCCCTAGAAGTACACTATGCACCCACAAAATATCAACATATGGTGCCTGAACAAGACCAGCATAATGACAATACCGGCTGACAGGATATTGTGGACAATGAAAATTCCACGTGGTCCTGCCCAGACGTGAAGAGGTACAAGTGGTCAGTAGCTCCTGAGAGAGAAGAACAGTTTCTTCCATGGAGGAGCTTCTGCAGAGACTGTCCAGTTCAAAACAATTCATTCTGGATTAGCTTCATACGTATACATGTGAAACACTACATGAACTCGGTAATTAAATCGACATAAAATAATAATAACATAAGAAGAGATCATGAATCTGGCTAGGGGCAGGGGAACTCAGAGGAGGAACTGAAGTAGAAAGGGGAGAACGGAAGTGATGAAGATGAAGGGCTCATGTATGAGATTGACAAATGATAAAATTGCCTTTAAAAATTGTAGGAAATATTTTACCATGCAATCCTATTATGTTCTTCTTTGGATTGATTTTATCTGTTGGCATACTGTTCTGACAGATGTCGTATTTTGGTTATGCACTTGTGTGTGTGTGTGTGTGTTGTAAGTACATACATGTGTACAGTTGCTTCTTTCTAACATAAATATAGGCAGTCATTCATTATTACCCACTTTTGAGAGAGACTAACTCGGACATTTTATGAATCATTTTAACATGATAATTAACCTGTTAAGCCAGTAATATGATCCCCAATTTACCGAAGAATAAAAAACCGTAGCTGACAAAAGATGACTAGCTTTCTAGAGGTTAGGAAATGCAGACCAAAGAGTTAACCTAATCTTTTACTTGCCACTTTCTGCACAATATATCATGAGGGACTCAAGTAGAATAGGAAATTACCCCAACTGAGTGTTAGAAATTGTTGTGGCAAAGATGCCTGCATATTTCCTTCATAGAGGCAGAGAACAGGTGACTCTCTTCCAAGCCACCCCACCAATTTCCTCTGTGATATGGAGAAGGGACTTCCATGGCTCACTGTAACTCCACTGATGGCTGCTGGGCCTTGTCTCATGTCCCTTCTATGTCCCTTTCTCTATTACTCACTCCCTGGTATGATATGACTTTTCCCTTATAAAGATTTTTTTCTTCAGCCCTCAACCCTAAACCTCTAGCAGAATAGAAAGTAAGCCAATATTCTTATTTCTACTCTGACTAAAAATCACAAGTGTTTATGGATTTTCATCTTAAGTCTCTGGATTATTACAGAATCAAAATTTGTTCTATATCACAGGAATTTCAAACATTTGGCAGAATTACAGGGAAAGGTACATTCCTTATCCTGGTTGTTGAATGAATTCAAAAAGATACGTCTGTGTTTTGGAGGAATTGGAGAAGGAAAATATGGCATTTTCCCCTCTCCTCCTCTTTCCTTAGTTCTTTATCTATTCTCTCTTACCCTTTTAGCTACCCAATCCTCTGACCACCTGAGACTCTAAATTCTGAAAATCTGGCAAAGGGCAATCAAGGATCAAGCTTCTTATTTATAAATGACCATACTATTGGCAACAAACAACTTAAGGATACTTGTCACCAGTACATTGAAGCAAACATCAGATTTGGTCAAAATAGTAAAATCATTTGAAATATTAAATTTGCATGACTATGTATAAATGATCACACATGTTGAATTTCCTCCTGCCTCAGGGTCCTCCCCTCAACTGTTCCCATGACTGCAACACCCTTATCCTAGGCACTGATAGGGGAGGTTCCTCTTTTTCCTCTCAGCACCTCTGCAAATGTTCCCCTTGGTAATGAGGCTTTTATGACCTCCTATTAACAACCCCTCAACTTCCTTCCCTTCCTGCTTCTAGTTTCCCTACCAAACTCTCGCACCTCCTCAACTTCTTCATTTTCCCCATAGCACCGTGTCACCATGTGACACACTACATATAGTTGTCCCTCAGTATCTTGGGAAGATTGATTTATAGACCCTCCTCATCTCCAAATCTAAGAATACTCAAGTCCCTTACATAAAATGCATACTATCTGCAAAACTCACACATATTCTCTCATATACTCCAAATATCTATTTTGTTCATACTGGCTAATATGATGCAATAATTTTTGTAAAATGCAGTTCTATTCTATTGTTTGAGAAATAATATGCTATATATGTTCAATATAGGTGCACACTTGATGGAGTCGTTTAACTGAACCCATAGATGTGAAACCCACAAATAGGGAGGATTCGTTGTATATGTAGCTTGTTAGCCTATCACCTGTCTCCCCCTACTGGAAGGCGCATCCCATGAAAGACGAATTCTTCACTTACTTTCTATTTCAGATTTCCTGTCTATTTTAGTACGTGGTTCCAGGCCCACAGCTATCATTCAGTGACATATTGATGAATTCAAACTGTATATATTTGTCATTTACATCCAGTCTAATTATGATGCCACACACTAATGAGTTTATGCGTATGTACTAAGTGAGCAATAGTGACATCTTCCACTTCCGTATACTAGTATAGTAGGAAAAGAAAAGCAGCTTTAAGACCAAAATTTAAGATAGCAAGCAATGCCTTGACAAGCAGAAGAGGGAGATTATGAATTTCATATAAATTTACATTTTGATTTACTCATATACTGAATATAAATAATCTAATCTAATTTATTATTTTATCAATCTCCATTATGAATAGCACTATTTGTAATAAAATAATTTGTTGATTCTGCAACAATATCTTTAGATTTTAAAAGATAAATATAAACAAAATAAATTGGAGAAATAAGATCAAATCAGTTGAGAGCAGTAGCTATCCTGACAGCAGAGGATGTAGACAATGGAAATTTTCATTTTCTAGATAATATATTTCAACAAGGTTTATAGCTCCTAACATTAAATGCCATTGTTCTTAAAATTTCAGAAACTAAGGGATTAAAACATATTTTGCTAAGATAGAACAAATTTCCCCAGAGATACTAAGAAGATTGAGGCTACCTGAAATTTCCAGGTACACGTGCACTTCGGAGGATAGTAGCTTGGGTAATACGGACTTGAAATTTTCCCTTCAAAGCTGTTGATCTCCTTGACCAATATCGTGTTTTCACACTCTGAAAGAAGGTATCCACACACAAGGACCCGACGTGAGGAGACGAGGGCATGGCTGCACACTTTCTCTACATGTGCACATTTACACAACTATTGAACTGGCATAGTTTTGAGTCATTATCTATTCAAAGAAAGAACCCCCAGTAGATACTTAGCTAATGTCAGGTCCCAAGGAAACTCCAGTTCCCAAAATTCCCAAGGTAGTCCAGATATACAGAAATGGGCTCCGCCTGGACTATAGGAGAATTTCTGGAGGTTAGATAAAAGCCAACATTCCTCAGGAACTCTTCCCCCTCTATCAGAAGAAGTTATGTCTCTTATCATTGGCAGAGGGACAAATTGCTGTCTGTGTGCCAATTAGCGTACCAAGGCTGCTGCTGGCCTGCAGGCTCCCTCAGTATGCAAGTACCCATGACACATTTCAAAGAGATGCTAGTGTCCTAGCTCTTCTAACCTCCTCCCCTACCCTAATCTCTCCCCTGCTCACTGACTTCCCTTCCCCTAGCTACCCATTCCCCTTATAACAATGCTGTTTCTCTCTGTGCCTGCCTTTTACACATTCTCTCTCTCTCTCTCTCTCTCTCTCTCTCTCTCTCTCTCTCTCTCTCTC